GCCAGTGAAGCAACGTCCTCCACAACTAGACTGAAGAACAAAAGGACAGCAACTTGTCTGTTCCCCTTCCCCCAATTCCCAGCACTGTTCCCATCCCCCAATTCCCCAATAAAAATCTTAAAAAAAAAGATATGTGCAGAATCCAAATTGTGGTTTGTACTTTTTCCCCCTTCTGGAAAGATGTATAAATCCAGACCATAAAATGCTTGCTCCCTGACACTTCTCCAAACAAATGTGTTTTTCCTGAAGTGAAATATATATAGAAATTTTTACTATAAATTTCCTATTACTCGATTCTATAAAACAGATTTGCATGCATTAAATGAACCTTGGTACTTACACATAGAGATCCATAGGAAACTCCTTCATCATGTGTGTTACAATAAATTCTACCATCAGGTCTGAATGGAAAAAGGAGAAAAATTAAATCAATCAGAATAAAATTCATTCCTTGCCTTTAAGTTGGAAAAAACCTTCTGAGTACACCTTGCATTCATGCTGAGTGCCAGCCATTAACCACATCTTCATTCATATGTGCTTATATTTATTTTATATAAGGCACCTTCAACATCTTTCACCACCTGCCACTTGTAAAGTAACAAGAAAATGAGTTCACTCTCCTACTTCCAGAAGAATACCTTGACCTGCCAATAAATTCATATGCGATGGAGATTTCACTGCACAGATATTTCATACCGTGGAACTAATGCAAAATGCCAGAGGGAAATAATATTCTGAGAACTGAGTGATGAGGCAAACAGAGAAGAAATTATGGATCATATCCATGTAACCAGAGACTCAGCTCTAAAGCCATGTCTGTCTGTCTCATCTCACTATCACACTCCGTTTGACAGATATTGACTGAAATAGTCTGTGGGCTTTGGGTCAATAGAAGTTTATTATATAGTCTTAATTACAATTTCTAAAATTAAGTAGATTTAGAAACTAGGGCTGAATATCCAACTGAAATGGGATTAAGAGTTCAGATCATTCCCCTGAGGAAAATGCAGCATTCTGACAAAATTACCTAAGATACAGCCCTCTACCTGTCAAGCTCTGTCAGCCTCATCTCAGCTTAATTTACTCAGAGGAAGTTTTGCATGTTTGAACCTTGAACTTCAATCTTCCTGGCCAGCTGACACATCAATTTGGACCAAAAAAGCTCCCTTTTTTTTTTTGAATTCTTGATCAGCAGTAACATAGTTTACAAATGTAAATCATGTATCATGCTTAGACTTAGCCATTTTTCTCCTTAGAAAGATCTTTTTCTGTGAACAAGAGCACCCTTTAATTGACCATTCTATTCACTGGAATTGCTTTGCCAAACAACAAAAAACATGATTTCTTAGGCCCGGAAAGAAATATAACTAGTAACAACTTCTCTGAGGTAGAAGTACATCACCAGGATCTAGTCCTCATCTTAATTATGAAAACCTGTCACTGGCTCCGAAAAATGCTCCGAAAAATGCCAATTTTGATGATACTCACCAAGTACTGCACATACTAAAGGACGGCAGGGAAGGTTCTTGTCTGCTGCCTTCTTCCTGTGTCGCATAGGCTTCACACACACACAAAAATGAAATTAACAGGCACATTAACTGACACCCAATGGCTCATCACCATGCTTCATGCCAATAAAATCATGACTACAGAGATGCTACCTTTCTCTCTCTTTTTCTAGTGGTGGGATGGGGTGGGGTGGGGTGGGGTGGGGTGGGGAGGACTTATAAATGCTTCTCAGTTACCAATGTAAGCCTGTGACAAAAACACAGTTCAACAAGACAACAGCCCTAAAGGGTGCAGGAACGTACTATAGAATGGGAAAGGTGTGGTTTTTACTTTGATTGTATCTATATAAGTGCCATTACAACAAAAGAGAGATACTGGTATTTTTCTTTTATAAAATAATGATTAAGAAAAAGAAAAGTAGAAGGTGACTGTATAAAGGCAGCAACAGCGGCAGTTGCAAAAAACAAAAGTTTCAAATATAAACCTCGATGTGACATTTTTAACATACCTTCAAGTTTCAGGAAATTCCCTGATCCTTCATATTCTATTTCCCCCCACTATTCAGATGAATAAATCAAAGCAGTATCTCGTCTTAACTAATCAAAGATCACACTACATTTTGAAAACAAAAGTCTTAGGCCACATCTACTTGTTGAAATCTATATTACTGATACATTCTAATACTACTGCCATGGGTATATGGTTGTGGATCTTTCCATCCTCTTGAGTAAGAAACAGCACCGTGACACCCAAAAACATCCCAACAACAGGCATGGGTCTGTTGAACAGCAGTCAAGCAAGAGCCCTTTAGCACAACATTCCACCCACATTTGTTCTAAGTAAGATCAATTTCATCCTCCCCAATCCTGCCAACACAAAAAAAATTTCCTCTAAGGAAAAACAAGAAGCCAAAGTCATACCTACCATTCTATGTAAGTTTACTCGAAAATTCATGTTGTCATCATGCAAAAATGCATTTGCATACTGATCCTAAGAAAAATAAAAAGACAGAGGAAAAAGTAAGGAAAGAGATCTATACTTAGCTCAGTTTATAATCAAACTTGCTACAAATCCTTGGACTTTGAAAACTACTTTCAGGGGCCACTCGGAGAACTAATGGGATGAGCCTAAAGCCTCTATGTCAAAACCTACTTAAACCATAAGATTTTACTTGGGAGTAATTCCTAGTGTGTCTCTAAACTGGTCAAAAATCTCTAAGCAAAGTACAGACGATAAAAATTACAGCACAGGGGGCGGCCGGATGGATCAGTTGGTTAGAGCGCTTACTCTTAACAACAAGGTTGCCGGTTCGATTCCCGCATGGGATGGTGGGCTGCACCAACCCCCCCCCAACACACACACACACACACACACACACCCGCACATAGACTGAAAAAAGCACTGGACTTGGAGCTGAGCTGCGCCCTCCACAACTAGATTGAAACAACGACTTGACTTGGAGCTGATGGGTCCTGGAAAAACACACTGTTCCCCAATAAAGTTTAAAAAAAAAATTT